GCTAGCCTTTGTGGCATCGCAAGAAGAGGGTCTGCTCAACAGAGCGTATCAACGGCAATGAATTCTATCATTTGGCAAAGACTAAAGGCGCGAAGAAATAAACTTTTTAAAACTGTGGCTACTTAAGGTAGGAAACAAATAGTAATTGAAAACATCGCAGTGGTTCTGAATATTTTTTTGTATTGTGAAGAAATACCAAGCGACAAAATTGTATTTTTTTAAACATGTTTTCAAAATTTTGTTTTCTTAGGTACTTGTTAAATGTTTATTGTTTAGCAATTGTGTTACATTTTTAAGAATTGAATTCAATTAATAATGCACACTTCAACTGTGGTGCATCCAATTTCAAATGCAATCAAGATAAGCACGAACGGTATCTTCTTTCAACATTTAGAAAAATCTATTTGGGAAATAAACAATGAAGACAATTTTATTGACTTAATATATTATTATTATTATTATTATTATTATTATTATTATTATTATTATTATTATTATTATTATTTATTTCCAGGAAAATATGTTTAGAATATGTGCAAATTATAATTATATAATTAAACATCTGTTATACAGAAATATTCTGGGATTATGTGCAATATCTTGTTCTTAAACATACATTCTACAACAGCTTAGTTTGTAGCGTTATTCTGATTAATCAATTGTTTCTAACATCTCATTGTCAGTTGACGACAAGTTACATGCTTCCAACAATATAGTGGCGAGAAAAAAGTTAAGTACAGGAGTAATTATCCCTCTGCAACTCTATGCTTACATTCACTTCTGGACCCCATCTCCCGACGAAGCGCTTGTGCTTGCATGAACCTAATTGACCCCAATTAATAGCACACGGAGTTATGTTTACTACATGTTTCTTCTCTGGTCTCCTTTAAGACTGTTATCATCATATTAGATCCCTTGCATTTCAGCACTTATATCATACAATTTTTAGTTTAAAGAGAACACACATCCTCAAGATTAAATACAATTTGTGCAGGACAAAATGTCCTCTTTTGGGTTTTGAGTTTTTGTACAATTTTACGTATACTAGTACTAAGTATTTTTAATGTTTAATTTCCTTTGAAACATTTATAGAATGTCATAAAAATTGAGAAATTATTACGAATAGTTAATAAAATTGGAAAGCTCGTTTTTCTTAATATCGCACAACCAAAACATTGATATTTATATTAAAGTGTGAAACTTAAGTTGATATTATTTTTTCATATATATATATATATATATATATATATATATATATTAATACATTATGTGTATAAGTCACACTAAAAAGTATAACAGGAACTATGCAAATAATTGTATTTCATCATTTGGGATCATTTTCTCCTGAACGGCAACTGAGTAAATTTGTTTACTCGCGTCCGCATTCGCGATTGTTTAAATACCCTTTTTACTAATTCTGGTTTTGGATTTCGACTTCGTCGCATCGCTCAATACCTGATCTTGAGATCTATACTTTTGCTTGAAACACTCCTTTTTCAACGCCATCGTTATCTTTGTAATCGACCTCATTCTTGTTTCACGACCCTCAATAGTGGCTATCAGGGTAAGACAATAAACACTACTCTGATCGAAATGAAGTTAAACCTTTTAAACAATGATTATGACTGCAAGTACTGATTATTCAACTGTTAGACACAGTATTGTAGAGGCCTCAACAGTCTACACCATCTCAATAAGCAAAATAACCCTTTACTGAATAGTTTCCGCCGAAAAATTAAAAACAAGCCAAACTCGAGCATTCACAACCCAAACTACAATCGCTGTTGACGGACAGTATGAATATCGATAGTGTGACTATTAAAGTGTGTGTTCTAGCGGTGAGAGCGGGCACAGAGTAACCCGCCACGGCGCTCGCTTGTTGCAGGAGTCCCTTGTCAGAAGCCGGCCCGAGCCCGCAGCCCGTGTCCTCGCCGGTCCACCGCCGCGGCAGCACCATGCCCGACGCAGCGCAGCCATGGTCGAAGCGCGCGCGCAACTGCCTGTCCGAGAACCTGCTGACGCTGCTCACGCTGCTCGGCGTCACCGCGGGCGTGGTGCTCGGGGTGATCCTGCGCAACTCCCGGGAGGGCGAATGGCCGCCGCGTGAGGTGATGTACGTCACCTTCGTGGGCGACGTCTTCCTGCAGATGCTCAAGTCGCTCATCTTGCCGCTCATCGTGTCGTCGATCATCACCGCCATCGGCTCCTTGGACTTGTCTGTCTCCGGGAAAATCGGCGGGCGTGCCGTGGCCTACTACCTAGCAACGACCATCTCGGCGGTGACGCTCGGCATCATCCTGTCCTCCACTATTCGCCCCGGCCGCAACTACGTCGCTGACGACAACCTCAACCCCCAAAAGAATGAGACGCGCAACATCCTCACGGTGGACACGCTCATGGATCTCGTAAGGTGAGCTCACGGGCAGATGTTGGCCCCCGGTCAACGATGAGGCCACACACACAATGGCACGAAATCTCTCAAAACCGTGCAGAGGAAATAAATTATATATTATAAACTAGGGTTGCTGCAACAGCATATAAAGTCTCGTATGATTTATAATATCACAATATTGCAAATTGAATCCATGTAATACTTCAGTAATCTCTTTAAAAACTTTCTTTACCAAACGAAGTGGACGGGCGGATGGGACGAATATCGGGAATCATGAGAGGGAATCATGAGAGGGAATCATGAGAGGGAATCATGAGAGGGAATGCTGAGAAGGGAAATCTTGGAGGGAATTGAGAGGGAATCTTGAGAGGGAATCTTGAGAGGGAATCTTGAGAGGGAATCTTGAGAGGGAATCATGAGAGGGAATCATAAGAGGGAATCATAAGAGGGAATCATAAGAGGGAATCATAAGAGGGAATCATGAGAGGGAAATATGAGAGGGAAATATGAAAAAAGAAACAGAGTCAAGTTAACATATACTAAATAAGTAAATCTGAATAATTAAAATTAGCAAAAGAAACTCATGTATGTACCACGGGCGTTAACTGGTTTTAATGATTGAGCTGCGACAGAAAGCCCATGGACCCTTGTACTGAGGCTTTTTGTCGCCCGAAATCATTAGAACTCTGATAACGCCCTTGGTCCACAAATAACTATTATAAAAATTGGCGACTTTCACTTTATGTTAGAAAAGAATTTACATGGAACCACATGAATATACCATGTCGCGCATCCTGGTCTATTTCAAAAACTGTGAGTTTTGTAATGGAGGTGTTCACGATGTTCTAATAACGAAGGGGGCGGCTGAATCTGCATATCATCATTGCTTTAGATTATAAAGTGCAGAAACGTAACACTTGTAATACAGTGAACGTCGTAACGTATTAGGTATGTTAATGAAACAAGGTACATTGTATAAAACCAAATTGTATAAATTGGTAAAGTGCTTTTAAGAAGGAAGCGAACAAAAATTGGTGCTTCAAAACATAACGCAGCATGTTTTCTTTTGTTTTTCAGGAATATGTTCCCTCCGAATTTGGTCCAGGCTTGTATTCAACAGGTAAGCAATATGAGTTATAAATATGTGACATTACCTACACTAAACACACAATATTAAACAAAATCTAAAATGTCAGCTACTTCAGATCTTCCTCATATTTTTTTAATTACTATTTATTAAATATAGATATCTCCAAAATCTGGAGTATTTAGATTCTTTAATGTCTTATTACTTTAACACGCAAAACATATTCCAAGACAGACTTTCACCCTCAATTTATTTTTACTTTCTCACCTAACGATTTCATTTCAAAACAGTGGTAATTACGGAAAGGATTTTGAGGTGAAAATTGTGGTCGTAAAAGGGGGAGAAAAGGTTCTGGAAATGAACACAAAAAGGTGCAACAAAAGGTGATGGTGAAACAAGTAAGATTGCAGTAAGATTGTGAAGAGATTGTGTAAGAGTGTGAAGTGCAGTAAGATTTATACCAGTTACATGAACTCAGTTTCACGAATATACTCTATCATGCAATCATTGCAATTTTTCTTCGCTACAGAGTCCGTAAGAGGTGATTCATAGTACTTTATCCAACACTGTAGAAGATAGAAAAGTGTAAAATGATTGACAGTACTGACGGAACTTCTTTTTCGCGGATCGCGTAGGAGAACGAACTTCGCAGGCGCGCCCAACTGAACCTCGGCGCTCTGGCGGGCGCAGGCAACTTCCCCTAACTCCTCTCCCCTCTCCCTTCCAAATTGACAAGTGCTGTCAGAGCTCTTTTAGTATTGACGGCGACACGATGGAAAGGTAAACATTTTCCTCGGGTCACAGACAAGTGGATTTCTGCACACTTATTTAAATGTCATGATTTGCCAGCGTGGGCAGCACTTTAAATCCAGCGGAAAAGGGTTAAACTGTTGCAGCAACGCCACTGAAATTTTAATTTGACTTTACAGCTGCAGAATGACCATTGTTGCTGAGATATAAATTACAGTCGATTTACCTAAAAGAGATGTAAATATTTATATAATATTGTTGACATCTGATTCAATGTAATTTTGAAAAGCTGTTCAAGACGAGAAAATACCTTTTTCTCTTCAATCGTTCAAAACCGCAGAAAAGAATGGAGAAAAAGGTAATTAAGCATAAAAAGAGGGGTGGCAATGTGTAGTAATCTCATGAAAAGGTGCAAAAAAAGTGCAGCAAATTGTGTTTATTTCGCTTCTTTTCATCCTCCCAAATACATGTACTAAATAATCAGTATGAAAACAGCTATATTTTTGAAAAGGTGGCGCACCTTAACATCCTTTCCCTAGTGATTATACATTATATTGGTATGTATCAACAGTAACGTCAATGTATTCTGGAACTCTATCAGGTAACTGTCCTTTAAACATTGTTCTGTCTTGACAGGTTTCCTTGCATATAATTGCCTAAATGTATCGTTCCGATGTACCGCACTCAGCATTCAAAAGTTTCCAAATATGGGAGGTGCGAGGGACAAGACGGCATTTCGGATTTTAATCGGAGGCGAACGGAGGCAAACCGTCCAGAAATCAGGCGGTGCGCCGCAGACAAGAGGCGCGGAGCGGCGCTCGGAGCGTGCTAAACGGTTTTCGGCAGCGTGAAGGGGCCACGGCAGGCACGGCTTTGCGCGGGGCAACTGATGTACGCCCGACTATCCATTCACGCGGGCGCAACTGCTCCCCCGGCCGCCCTCTCGTCCCTCCCGTTCCCTGAAATGCCCTAAACGGCGCCTCGCGCGGGCGCGTGGGAACGGGCCCGGGTGTTCCGGGGCAGGCCCGCGGCCGGGGCCCCCCCCGGGTCTCTCCGTCCTCGCCGGCACTGGGCGACCGCGGAGGCCGCTCGCTTGCCGTGAAACTGTCTGCCGGCCTCGTGCTTCCCGCCGCCTGCCGCCCCGGCCCGGCGCCCGGCCCGCCGCCACGTGGCGGCGCCCAACGGGAGGCTTTCCTGTTGGCGCCCGGCGGGGAAGTCGTCATAAACGGCCACTGTACAGCGGGGGGCCGAACCTGCGCAGAGCAGGCGTCGCGCCGGCCACGCCGTTCCCCGGGCGCTCCGTCCCCGCCTGGCCGCGGCTCTCGCCCCGCCTCTCGCGCCCCATTCCCCGCTTCTCGTTTCCCTGCCCCCGGACCCTTCCGCCCTCGCCCCATAATCCTAAGGCTTCCACTACAAATATTAAATCACGGAACGTCTTCGGTTGAGCAACCCAAATAATGCGAAGGGATGAGTTGTCCCAACTATTGGGCAACGGCAGTTGGAGAGACTAGAATGTGATTAATACGTCGGTATAAAATACGCGTGCTCTGATCCAATGTTCGCGATGGCACAACATTGTCTTATGGCCATTAACATTGCTTAATGAAATTTGTCTACAAAGGAAAGTGTGATAGTTGCCGTTATCCGTGTCTTCGTTCACTTTACCATGTCTAGAGAATGAGGCGTTAGAACAGAATCTTAAGTTGTGCCGTTCTGTTTCTTGTTCTTTCCTTTTCCTCGAAAGGGCAGGGATGTTAACTGACCCGCGTAACTCTCATCTCTACGCCATATTTTGTCTACATTTTGTTTCAGATAGTGCCGTAGGTACGCTGGAGCTTATATGGAAATATGTGATGATCAAATGCAACAATATTTCGGAAAGAAATGTAATAGATTCATTCTGCGCAAGAGAATCATTACATTTTGAAATTACTAACCTACGCTATGTGTTCCTACATCATTTAAAATAGTGTCGAAAGCGACATATCTCCCTTTCCGTTTGTTTTCTAAATGTATCCGTATATTCTTAAGACGCTTCAACATCACGCTAAATTGATAGATTTTGTTTCGTCTCTATGTGATATATATGAAAAAATTAATCTGCGAACGGTTTCTTGAGCTCCAGTATCTCTTCTCCTACCTTTAATCAGAAATAGTTATTAAATGTTTAAAGTACCAACAAAACGAGGTTAGCAACATTTGAAAAGTAGACATTTTCACTTCCGAGTTACAGAAAATTTATTTGCAGCTGTAAACATAATTTCAATGTGTCGGTAGATATAATTTCAATTTGGCTACGTAAAAATGTCTAAAAGTTTTAGTTAGAAAATGTAACATTATTTATACAGGTAGTTGGTCTTAAAGTTGATCAATGTTTTAACATATTATTTGTTTATTTCACATTTAGATGAAAGTACTTCTGATGAAGAGGAAAAAAGGAAGTGCCTCGAAACGTTGCGAACTAAAACTTTTGAAATTAAAACATTATAAAAAATATAGTTTAAATTAAATTAAGAGAAAATAGATGTTTTCAATTTAACATTAATTGCCTCTTAACAATCGATAACAAATCGCATATCCCTTCATTAACTTGTCACTAAGAAAATCTTTTCAACATTGGTATAAACCCTTCCTTTGGCATTCACTGGCAAGCTGTAAAGAGAAGGACATGTACTCTAATATGCTTAAATGATTATATTATTTTTCCAGAAGTTTCCAAGTGAACAAAATATACATAATACAAATAACTTATTGCTTGCGTTTATTTTATGAATATTGTCATAATTTTCGACAACGTATTGATTTTTGAATCAATATTGAATAGTTAAATAGTAGTACATGTATGTTTGCTCCAACCATTGAAGAATATATTTAACCATGCTACGTATTATAACATTATTTGATACTATTACATACTACACATTTTGTGTTTTGTCTTTTTGCATTTAATAATGTTCATTAATTCTTTTTTCAGTATCAAACTGTTCTGGAGCATCCTAACGAAGACCTCAGCAAACCGAATGCAGTACTGCGTAAGTAACCCCTAATTGTTCATTTTTGTGCACAAATCTATATTTATATTTCGTGGACAAACAAATTATTTATTTATTTATTTATGCACCTAAAAACAGTTAAAGCTCTATGTGGCGTGTGGAAGTGAAGCACACTCTGCACACGTTTCCTTGGGCTCCAGAATCCCTTCTCCTACTCCTTTACAATATTTACAATAAATTGGACTATGAATAAAGGTAGCAATGAGCGTTTTTTTGGCAAAATTCGATGAGAAGAAATACACTGAGGTGACAAAAGTCATGTAATACCTCTTCATATCGTGTTGGACTTGTTTGGTTTGCCCATTAAAGTGCAACAACTCAACATGACATGAACTTAACAAGTCGTTGGAAGTTCCCTATACAAATATTAAGCCATGCTGCCTCTCCTGCCGCCCATAATTGCGAAACTATTGCCGGGGCTGAATTTTGTGCACGAATTGACCTCTCGATGACGCCCCATAAATGTTGGATGGGATTCATGTCGGGCGATTTGGGTAGACAAATCATTCATTGGAATTGTCCTCTATGTTCATTAAACCAATTTCGAACAATTGTGGTCCGGTGAAATGTGCATTATCATCCATAAAATTCTATCCTTGTTTGGGAAAATGAATTTCATGAATGGCTGCAGATTGTGTGCAAGTAGTTGAATATAACCATTTCTAGTCAATGATGGGTTCAGTTGGACCAGAGGACCCAGTCCATTCCACATAAGAACAGCTTACATCATTACGGAACCACCACCAGCTTGCACAGAAATTGAGAACTTGGGTCTACGGATTCGTGGAGTTTGCGCTACAGTTGAACACTACCACCAGCTCTTACCAACAGACATTGGGATTCATTTGACCAACCCACGGTTTTTCAGACGTCTAGGGTCCAATGGAAATGGTCACCCAGAAGAGGCGCTGCAGGGGATGTCGTGCTGTTAGCAAATGCACTAGAGTCGGTCTTTAGCTGCTACAGCTCATTAAAACCAAATTTCGTCGCACTGTCCTAACGGATATTTTTGTCGTACGTCCCACATTTCTGCTTTTATTTCACGCAGTGTTTCTAGCCTGTTAGCACTGACAACTCTTCGCAAATGTCGCTGCTCTCGGTCATTATTTGAACCCCGTTGGTCACTGCGTTGTCCATGGTGAGAGTTTGTGCCTAAAATTAGGTATTCTCGGCACTCTGTTGACACTGCAGATCTCTGAATATTTAATTCCCTAACGATTTCCAAAACAGAATGTCCCATGCGTCTAGCTCCAAATAGCATTCCGCGTTCAAAGTATTTTAAATCCCGTCGTGTGGCCATAATTACGTCAGAAATCTTTCCATATGAATCATTGCCAACGCTCTGCCCTTTTCTTCTTCTTTCGTTTGGGTCATCTGGGGACCATGCACCAATTTCATTGCTTCTTCCTTTGTCCTTCCCTCTTCCTCCTCCAGTACTCTTTCATCTTCTCGCTGTGTATCACTTTTCTCTCCTCGGACCATTTTGATCCTGTCTTCTTTTCCTTTCTGCCCTGCCTTCCATTTCTAACACTTTCTTCTTAAAAATCTCTCTTTCTGCTGCTTCTCTTTCACTTACATTGTTTCTTTCTAAATCTTTTCTAACTTCTTTAATCCAGGCTATTGTCGACTTTTTGTTCCAAAGGTAGTTAAAATATGCCTAGTTAATCTGTTGTCGTCCATTCTATATAAATGTCCAAAAATTAGCACTCGCCTCTTCCGTAATGTTTCGGTTATGTTCTCTATAGTATGATAAATTTCTTCATTACTTCTTAATTTCCATACCTCTGTGTTTCTTATCGGACCGAGAATTTTGCGAATAATTCTTCTTTCTAGGACTTCAACTTAATGTAATTTGTAGTTCAGTACTAAGCATTCACTTGCATAAAGACATTCTGGTTTTACTACTGTTTTGTAGTGATGTATTTTCAAGTTTTTAGATAGAGACTTTTTGTTGTAAATGTTTCTGGTTATGTCATATGCTCTCTCCATTTTGTGTACCCTTTCTTCTACAGCAAATTTTTCTAGTATATTTTCTTGAATTATTTCTCCCAAATATTTGAATTTATTTACTCTCTTTACCTGTCCAATAACTGTTACTAGAATTTCAGGAGCATTTTTTATATTTGTCATAAATTTTGTTTTTTCTACGGAAATTCGTAAACCTACATTGTTGGCTATTTCTTCTAGGAGATTGATTTGTATTTCTGCATGTCATACATTTTCGAAAAGAATGGCAAAGTCATCTGCAAATGCTAGGCAGTAAATTTCAATTCCTTGGTTTTTCTCCCTAGTCTTATTGACGATATCTTATGTTCTTTTAATTTTTGTTTCCATTCTCTTACTGCTTTCTCCAGGACACAGTTGAAGAGGAGTGCAGACAAACCATCACCTTGTCTTACACCTGTTTTTATTTGGAATGGATTAGATATTTCACCCCGAAACTTAACTTTCGATTTGGTATCTGTGAGCGTTTCACGAATAAGGTTTGCTAGCTTAGATTTAATGCCAAATTCTCGGATTACTTTGTCTAATGTTTCCCGATCAATTGAATCAAAGGCCTTTTTAAAATCTACAAATGTTACAACTATGTCTTTAGAGTTCGTAAGTCTGTGCCGGATTATGGACTTTAGGTTGAAAATCTGTTCTGAGCACGATCTGCCTTTTCTAAACCCGCTCTGATATTCTTCCAAATGGTTATCAAGTGTTCCTTCCACCTTGATTAGAACTATTGTTGAAAATATTTTGTAACCCTCTGGCAACAGAGATATATCTCTGTAATTATTTATATCTTGCTTGTCACCTTTCTTATGCAAAGGATGGATAAGAGCCACTTTCCAGTCTTCTGGAATCTTTTCAGTCTCCTAGATTTCCTCTGCCCTTTTATTCTTTTGTACGCCGCACTGTTTCCATAAGTATATTTGCATATTACAAACCAATGACTTTTGTTACTCCAGTATATTTTCTCTTATGTAGAGACGTCAGTAGTGTAGTCTGCGGAAGGGCGCGATCCTATCACCAAGTAAACACGATTTCCGAAGTTTAGTCTGGAACTTAAGCGGTTCCTTCGAAGTTGTTCCGTCTCAAGAGGCTTCCTTGCGTAGAATCGTCTAAATATGTCATTGTCGATGTTTTTGAATTCGGTGTAGAGATAAAGAATCTGTTGCGGGTCCCACAATACTTATGTGGTTCCTTAACCTTCCTAAAAGCCCGCAATGATTGCCCGTGTTAGTACTCATCGTAATTTGTTTTCATGTTTATGAGGTATTAAGCCACCGCCCACACTCGTGTCCAGTTTGGTCAGTATCTTCGTGTGGGTGTCCAATTCCCAGTCACGTCCACAAACCTCTCATTAGGGTTAGATACTGCCGAAATTGAAAAACTGGAGGAAATCTTCCTTGAAGGAATGAAGGTGGCCATAGCTGTCTACCAATATTAGTACCTTCTTTTTAGGCTCATTAGGAATGTATTTGTTTTCAGGTGAATTAGGTTTGTGTGTTTTTGTACTGACGATGCTTCATTGCCTGTTTGTTCTTTTGTGTATATCTGTCAAAGATAATTAAAATTTGTATTATTTATTTTGAAAATATCACAATACGTAGTAGAGTTTATTGACCATAAATTCATTGCTAACAGCCACCATGATCGATCGATTTCACCAAACTGTTAATATTTAAATACTATGCGAAGTTTGTTAAAAATAGTTATTTACGTAACTGTAAACGTAACAAAAAACGCGTACCCCAAAGTGCAATTTCTCAATTAGTAAACAGTAAATACAAGTAGAGGTTTTCATGCATAGGTGCTGAAATAAAGATTTATCTCATTTGTATTTTTCATTTCAGCCGAAATTCCTCTGACGTCATGGAAAATCACCAGCAGATGGACGGACAACATGAACATCATGGGCCTCGTGGTGTTTGCCGTAGTGTTTGGAATCACTATCAGTAAAATGGGAAATGCTGGAAAACCTCTTCTTCACTTCTTCACTGCTTTGGGATCTGCCATGATGATGATCACCCAATGGGTGATTTGGTAAACAAAATTCAAAATACCTTATTCTATTTCTTTCGTATGTGAAAGGTTCGGATGAAACACAAGATAAACCACATGGAAACGCTTTTGATGTGAACGTGTGGTGTGTGAACGATGTGAACGTTTTGTGTGTGAACGCTTTCGATGTGAACGTGTGGTGTGTGAACGATGTGAACGTTTTGGTTTATGAGATTTGAGTTGCGTAAAAAATGGAGTCATCAACGAACCATATTGAACTATTTGAATGTTACTCTGCAGTGGCACCAAAATACAGAATCCAAAATTTATAGTATTATAAAAAATACAATAATGAATGTTATCATATTTTACGCCCAAGTCCTTCATTCTTAGAATGATGCAATATTGAATGGATTCTAATTGGTACAACTTAATTTATCACCTCTTTTTTACTTGAACTCCAAGGAAATTTGAAAAAATTTGAGCTATCTGAAATACTATGAGAAAATAAAAATAAATTGTACACAAGTAATTAGACGTGAATCATGTTTGTGATGTTTATAATTTTCTGTTGACAGAAGTTGAAACAAGTTTATTTATTAATTTTATAAATAACATAAAAAATCATTTACGGAAGTTGCGTAATTCATTTTTATCTCTAGCCTTACACATTTTCCAAAGCACGTCATCTTTTTCCGCGCGAAGTTAAACTACAGTTGCACTTTGATGAAACTACTTTGAGGATTGAAAATGTGTCAAATCTCTGACGTCTGTATGACAGAGAATCTTGCCTTCTACAAGAGGTTTCATTCCATTGGGTTCCATCGTTTCAGACCTCAATCAAAGTTTGTTGTTCATATTCTGTTTTTTTTTTAATTAAAAAAATCCGAATTATTTTAATTTAACAATAAAAAACTCGACATTAACATATAAAAATAAAATTAGTTTTAATTTACATTTAAGAAGATATTCACTGAGTTTTACAAAAAAAATACAAAATTTTGAATTTTACAATACTTATACAAATTCCTATGCTTGTCACATTAATCTAAGACCACTACATTTATAAAATGAACCTTTGATTCAAAAGTCATGCATCAAAAAGAAAATGAAAGCCATGTCAATGTTTATTAGAAGTAATTCTATTGTCAAAATAATTTTATTGGGTATAAAATGCAAAATTTAATGAATTTATTTATTTACTTTTAATTATTTATTTTATGGTTTATTATTATTATTATTGTTATTATTATTATTATTATTATTATTATTATTATTATTGTTAATTTTATTGCATTTTCCGTCCTCTGTATATCTGAAGAAGTTTTTCTTATCTGGCGGGGCAAGGGGGTCGAATTTTTTAATATATTTTACTGGTATACAAATTAATTCTGTGGAGGAATGATTATTGCTCTAAACGTTTTAATTCAAATAATTTTATTATTAATATTTTACATCACTTTCATCTTCAGTCACTGTCACGATCACATCTTCAGTCATTGCAACAATCTCTGTATTTTTGTATATTGAAGCATTAACTCCAAATCCATTGGCCGTCATTTTGTTTCCAAACAATAACTTATATACCAGTACATACGTGCGCTTCTTCATATTCAATTTTTATTCATTATAAGTTTTTTATATCCATTACAGTTATGATATATCCAGTCGATGAATCGATGAACTAATGTCAAATTTGGGGTAGCTGATAAAAGTATCTTGCAGGAATATCTAGCAATATCTTCCGGTTTCCAGTGCGAGTGGACTTATTAATCAAGTTTTCCCAAGACATTCCTCGCCCAATCTGTGCCATCGTATATCCCCCCACTGTGCCACACCATTACATCCTAGAGGCTGCGCATGTGCCCCCTCACAACGTTCCCAAATGCTACAAAAAAAATTCATCATCCATTGGACGTATAATGTGATATTTTGTTACAAAACGCTTCGAATTGTAACTGTTGCGAGTGTAGGTTGTTGTCTTCGGGAAGGCCATGGCAATGCCATGGGTCGAGGGACGGAGAAAGCAGAGGACGCAGGGCCGAGAACAGATCAATGTCGATATACGCGGATCAGTCGTTCTCTTCACCGGCATCGCGTAAATTCTCACCGATTGACGCAATTGCTGAGAGACAGGGAAAACAAATGCTCATGGCGCGAGATCGCTGCTGACATCGCCCGCAAACGAAACGAAAGGTTTTCCGATGGGAAAAGGATACAATTATAAGGAACAGTCCGTGATTCGGAACTTCTCACTTCCTCAGCGATGAGTTCAGAGCAGTGAAGGGGGCTAGACAAGGTCAGACCGGGCGATCACCCGGGGCCCTACAAGTCCAAGGGCCCGATGATGGAACTAATGGAAAAAAATAGTAAAAAATTGAATAAAAAATTAGAACTCGAGAAAATTATTATCGAATTTTTGTAAGACGCGGTACATTTGTCTGATATTTCATAAATTTTCAATTAAATGTTTACCTTAAATATTTAATAATAGTCTACTAATAAGGTAGGAGGACTGTCTGGAATCAATCAAATGACGCGTGAAAACATTAAAATATGTTCTACTGAAATCCATATTATTATTATTATTATTATTATTATTATTATTATTTCGTGTGTTTAACAAAACGTGATTTTATTAAAGATTAACGAAACACTATTTTTTAGCGATTTAAGATTACCCTGAAAATTGTATTATTTATTCACTAAAAACTTTTACTTAAAAGTATTATTTAAAATATACTTCCAAAACTTTTTCTTGCTTAAACGTTGTATATTTCGTTATTTATTGAAATAAAATAACTCATAGTTTCTTGATACAACTTCCACATCTTTAATTTTTTCGAGGGAGGGTGGGGCATTGCCCCGGACTCAAAATTGTCTGACACTGATTCAGAGCATTTGAGTTTTGAAAATTTCCTTCACCTTTTGTGCTTCGGTACATTGCTAGAGGATACCGTATCTCTTACATCAGAGTACATGATACGTTGCCGAAACCTCACAGGTGTCACAAGATATTAGAGGTACAGATATTGATCAACAACTTCGTGTTAACTCATTGGAGACAGAAACAAATTTCTTGGCGTTTCTAACATGGTTTTTTATGTTATTCATCAAATCACTGTTTATACTATTATATAAGGTCTACAATCTACTTACGCTCCATTGTATTATGTTCTCACAGGATTTCTCCCATCGGTGTATTGTTCCTGATAGCAGGCAAAATCCTTGAAATGAAAAGTTTTGAACAGTTGGTGGGTCAACTGGGTATGTACTTTCTTACCGTGATGCTCGGACTCATCATTCATGGGTTTATAATCACTCCGTTCTACTTCACCCTGGCGACCAAAACTCTTCCATTCAAGTTCATCGCTAACATGGCAGAAGCTCTCATCACCGCCTTCGGTACAGCTTCCAGGTATGGTTTCTTTTGCTTTTAATCCGCACGTAATTTTAAATATTAAGAAAACTGCTTGATCAAAGTCCAGGAGCCATCCGGGTGGAACTGAACTAAAATGTCTTTTGGTGAAAGAAAAATGATATTAATAATTTGAATATATTAAACAAAGCAGGAATAATTGTGACTTTCCACCACATATTGTGTAAATTGATATATTACGTGTATTTATATTTCCTTTTCTATCTACATATATATTTTATCTTATTATAATTCGATAATAAGCGTGCAAAAATTCAAAGACATCTGCATTCACTGGTTTTTTTTTTCAAGAAAGTTGTATTAGCCGACCTGAATTACCGACTAGGTGAGAACGCGAACTTGCTCAACATTTCGATGCGAAGGAAAACGAGTTCGAATCCCGTCCAGGGCATGAATATTTGTGCTCGTCTTTCGTGTTCCTCCCGTATAGTATTTAGTGTGCGGTTAATGGTACATCCCATCAAGAGATGGAGAGTAGGGTTAAGCCGAAAAAAAGCGCTGACAGAATTTAAAATATTGTATAGTCATGAAAAAAGTTGTATTCGTAAGCGATTACGAACTAATGTGTGATACGTAATTAGCACAAAATGTACGTCACACCTTCACGAACAAAAAAATATTTCTTTCGTACTACCGAAGATAACGAGTATAAAATAACATCCTTTGTTTCTTACCCAATTAATTTGTATTGATTATATTCGATTATCCGATAATATCCGAGGAACCTATTTGTGTTGAAAAGAGTGTATAAATGTAGTAGATGCTTCTACGGAGATTATAATGTCCCTATCAATAAAAGTTATTTGTGAACGAAGAAATGAAATAAAATGTTACATAGGTAAAGGTCTAAAAACATTGTTAATTTTTCATACGTAAATATATTTATAACTTACGGCATTTAAATATAAAACAAAAAGTCCAGTGTGTGTCTGTTCACAGTAAGCAGTAACCAGTTCTGTTACCAGTACCAATGTTGTTTCTGTTCACAGTAATGCTACGTTACCGATATCTATGAGATGTCTGGAAGAGAAGAACAAAGTGAATCCTCGAGTTTCCCGGTTTGTCCTCCCCATTGGCGCAACTATCAACATGGATGGAACTGCTTTGTATGAAGCTGTCGCTGCGATCTTCATTTCACAAGTTCGAGAAGTGCCTCTCAGCATTGGTCAACTACTTGCTGTGAGGTGAGTTTCTAATTACCTTCCCTTTAATCTTTTCTGAGCTAATTTCGAGCTAAGGCGGCGCAGGGATAAATCCGATCCCATTTCTTTCAAGTTACCGTCCAGTTTCCCTTGCTCCATAGAGCAAATGCTGAGATGGCCACTAGTTTTGCTTGTGGATAGTAAATTTAGATATACTATTGTCGCATGTTCTCTTGAGTTCTGTGAGGAATATAGTTATTTCGTGAATAATAAACCATCAAATAATTGTTCTGTTTTCTCGTGATAGTGAGTCGCTTGCTTCACCTGGGGCATGATAAGGAAAAAAGAAAAATCTGTAGCTCAATTGGCGAGCTTACTTCTAAAGTGATATATTGTGATGGTTTATTGACGCGAGCCACAAAATATAAATAAAAGGCTACAATAGGAAGTAACCGGCGATAGTATGTGAAGAATAAAATGTACGTTTTATATTGGGATACGTGAGTCACTTCCGTGCTTAGCATCTTACAATAATAAAGAGAAAAACACAAGTTATTAAAAAAAACAGCAATATAATAAGTATACGGAGTGACAGCCATGACAAATGAACACAGTGCGCAGAAAGTAGCAAAGAGACACGGAATTCACGAACTTTCGGTCAAAAAGAGACAGGTGGGTAATATGATTTACAGAGGAGAACGTGCTCGGTCATGGTGAGTGTCGGTTGTGAAGTTGGTAGTGCAATTTCTCGAGGGAATAATTCGTGATTGAGTTCTTGAAATTAGGTAAAATAGTAACTGGCGGTGGGTAGAAGCACGCAAATAGATAATTCATATAGGAAAGAATTTTTTTAAAGACTAATAGTTGCGAAACGTCGGATTTAAATGATAACTTGGAACTCAGTCGAAGCCACAAGACGGCGTGGATCTTGGATCTGGAAAGGAGCTTAACAAATATTTCATCGGCCAAGAGTGCAGTGGGCTACCAAAAGTAAAATAAATAGACATTAAATAATTTATCTAGGGAGACGAAGTTGTGTCAAATTTAAATGTAAGAAGTATTCATAAGAGGGAATCGGAGTTGGCCTAGCCAGGAAAAACTAATAGATATCGGGACGGATGAATTGTGTGAATGTGTTGGAAATTAAGAAAGTCAGGATTATATTGTATTGTTATAGTGGTAATTGTGTTTATTCGTAGCGTCAACAGTGGAGCTGTGAGATTGGGTATATATGTAATTGTTAAAACAAATTATGTTTCGGAACGATTAACGTGAATTTATTCAAGTAGTTCAAAACTGATGAAGTTGTGAAAATTGAGGATTTTTCTTAAGTTCCGTATGAGCAAGTCTGTTGATCTACGTATTATACTTTTTTCTTAGAACAATGAGCGATTCCACTCCGAAACTTAATGGGAGTAATAATAAGTTGTGAAATACTAATAAAATACTGAATTAGGTCGGGGCCGAAAAGCAAATAGCTCGATTATTGAGTAAAATTTGGAATAAGAGAGGAATCGCAGATCTCAGAATAACCAGGAGAAACAGTTTTCAGGAAGGAAGAATACTCGCATTCAGACTTATAGTTCAAAGTAGCATAAACCGTTTTTCGGTCATCGTAGGAGACACGCAATTTTTTTTAAACAATATTTGGCCGCATAATGGATAAGCGTCTTAAGCATACTTTGATATCTAAAATTAGAACGGAAACGAAACTCTACACTTTGGAAATAAGCTATTCTATTGTCTGCGCAAATAGATTTTATTTGTTTTTTTAGCTCCCGACTGGTGTGATAGTTCGCTGGATATTTAGTGTGTGTGTGTGTGTGTGTGTGTGTGTCGTGTGTGTGTGTGTGTTTGTGAAGGGGAGAGGAGACAAGCATGAGGAAGGGAAGACCGTGCGCAGTCCGAGACACGTTTGCTAGAGTACTGCTCCGGCATTCTCCAGGTATTGATCGAAAAAAAAGACGAAAGAAAAAAACAACGGAAAACTAGGTACTGGCCCCTAGAATTCTCCTCCAGTTCAGCTAGGTGCTAGTGTCCAAAATCGGCGACCAAAGGAACTCGACTCCTTACGGTTCTGCATCAGTGAGAGATGTCACTAAGCTATCCCAACAGGTTTATATGTGGATTTTCATGTTCCTATTAATAAAACCTGGAAAATATTGTCTGATTGCACAACCACTTTTAAACTATATGGATAGATAAGTTTGTATAAATTCATTCGACGATGTAATAGTTACAAAAATGTTACAATTTTTAAAGTTTTCTAAACATCCTAACTCCTAAAAATGAATGACGAATACGAAAGAAGAGGAAAGGTGATTGATTGATGATTCCAGGCACAACAGTGGCTAAGGTCATTAGTCCCGTGAGTGTAGTGCATGTTTTCTCCCGGGAGGTGGCGGTGATCTTTCCCCACTGGATGGTGAGATCCGGCGCCGCCCTAACGTCGACTCCCAGGTTTTGCCCCATCCAAGTATCTCCCACCAGAGGCACCACCCCACCTGGGACAGGTTCTAAGCTCCTGACATGTATGGTAGCGTAGTGCATTTTAGTGTAAGTAAGGGTTGATGATAGGTCAAGGAAGAGGAGGGGAAGATCGCGCGTGGTCCATTTGTAAGGGTATTGCACCAGCATTCGTCTGGTATTGATCGGAGAAACGACGAAAAACTCCTGATCAGAGCAGCCTACAATTCTCCTCCAGACCTCGACCTAGAGCTAGTGTCGAAAACCATGCTAACACTAGGACTTGAACCTCCCGGTTAGAGGCACTGCAGTGACATGCAGTTGATTTCTCCTGATGGACCGAAGTTGTAACTTATTATTACACATTTTGATACTTTGTATTAAAAAACAATTAATTATCAAGTTCATTGTTTTGTAATCAATGGGATTTTGATTATACTGATCAGGCGGAGGTTCAGATAAATGGTTATTAACCCTCAATCGACCCCTTGCCCATCTTTGACCCTCGTCAAAATTTCATCAACCCCGACCACTTTGGGAAACCCTGGTCCAAGAGAACAATCACCGGCATCTGTGAATTCACACCCTGGTATCATTACAAATTTACATGAAACTCTTCTATTTTCCAGCATTACGTCTACTGCTGCTAGTATTGGTGCTGCAGGCATTCCACAAGCAGGCCTCGTCACCATGGTCATGGTCCTGGACACTGTCGGTTTACCTTCGGAAGATGTCACACTCATCATTGCTGTTGATTGGCTGCTGTATGTTCTGTTTTATTTACTTCATTTACCAATTTTAAATTATGTACCATTATTTTAACATTCGAGAAAAGTCACTTAATTTGTATTAGCTGCATGAAAGCCCCCGCGTCTCAGCAAATTATGACACATTTTGTAAAAAGTTAACTGGAAACGTTAAAACCCTAATGACGACCTACAACCTTTAAAAATACCAACTGCTACCCGCGGAATTCTCTGATGTAAACTGCATGGTAATGTAAAAATCGCGTCTAAGTAACTGTTAGTCATTGTCAAAAAAATAATACATCGACTATAAATATCCCAAAACTGTCGTAACTTTCTTGGAGATTTTCCTTGGTTTATGCAGGAACACCCACAAAAGGAGGCAGCTGGGACAATTTACCTTACCCCTTGGACTTTTTCTCATTGAAAGCATTTAAAAAATGAATTCACTTCTATTTCAAATTAACTGCTACAAGTGATTTCTGTTGCACAAAGATATGAATTCAGTTAATGCATTAGGGCAGGGTGGAATTTTGTTTGATATAAGAGGTCCCGAGGATCTACTGCTCCAAGTCTGGGTATACGTGGGACGAAAGACAGCATGCACTTGAGAATAAGAAAATATTGCACGTAATTCAAATGCATGTGATAATATTGGGCAGATGATAGAATGGGCTGGTATTCAGTTACTGTTCAGGCATTTTGTGATGCAAAGCCACATATTCTCATATCATTAGGCTATGCCTGGAAAAAAGACTTTTTGAAAAAATTCACATCTGCATAATCATCTTGAGAGATTTTGATACATGACCAATCCAAACAGACTAAAGTAATAGTAGGGGAGAAGCTTCACATATTGTTGACAAAGGATTGTGTAAATTACATTTCATACATTTACATAATAGAACTTTTGAACTGGTAATTCTATTCTCTTTACCATTTAATTTTTTGTTTGGTGAAATCTGCCAGAAATTATAAATTATGAGTCACAAATATTAACATTTTGCTTACATTGTAATTTCTTTAAGTTTAATATATTTTGTTACTTTGTACATAATTTACATTTTTACACTACTTTTTATCCCAACAATGAATCTTGCTTGTATTATTCTTTCTTGTCATGCAGAATTAGAGGCAAAGGTTCACATTGAGAAGAACTCTCCTAAATTAAAATACTATTGGAACTGTCAATTTCCACAGCTACTTAGTCATTATACATGGTACACATAAGCACAAGTTTTGGGAAAGCTATTTTCTTGAAGTAAATAATAGAAATATCAAATGTAAGGTTGATGTATTTTTTTTAAACTCAGATGAATGTTTTAGCCACTAAGTTAAGGTGAAGTTTCATGAAAGAAATGTAATATTCTTATTTTTCAGTGATCGATTCCGCACAACTATAAACGTCCTAGGAGACTCTCTAGGAGCAGGAATTGTAGATCATTTCAGCCGGAAAGAATTAGAAAATGTTGATCAACTGGCAGTAGTAGAGGCAGCAGACAAGCAGGATCCTCACAATGGGAAACTCAACCCTGAAGAGGTGGACTGGCACACAACAGCCATGTGAACTTCCATATTATTAGATCTTATAATTTTTTTTATTTTTATTTTTATTTTAATTATTATTATTATAATTATGTATCATATTTGATATGACTTTCTTTTAAGTTACAATGCCTGTGACTATACTGTCTCGTATGAAGTGAGTAATTCACTTCTATCTGCACATTTGTGTGGTCTGACCTGAGTGAACTAACTTGCAGGAAGAAAAATGAGCTACGGGCTGAGGCATCTTCCACCACTGGGCAATGAGCTTCATAACAATCTGCTCCAACAACCACATCTGAATGCTAATTTATTAATGCTGCATGTACTTAGCTCATACTAAAAATTACATCAAAGCCTGTAACCCATGATATTCTGCTTCCAAGATGCAAGATGGTCTCTACTCAAATTCTTCCTCTTTTAAATCTCCTCCTATGTTTTGTGTTAACCTGTGATGATGATGTCAATGTCTTTCTTAAAGACCATAGACAACAGGTGGAACATATAGGTATGAACTTTTTGCTGTTTGAAACAGCTAGAATATGTAAGTTGAGTCTGATGTCAAATGTGTTTTGCTGTTAAGATGCTAAATATTTTTAGTAATGATAAGTAGTTGGTAGTTCACTGCTTGAAGTAGACAAAATGTATTCTCGTATTTACATATAGATTCTGTTCAGTATCAGAATCAATTATGACACCTTTCTTTCTTAGTGTGACTCAATGATAGAAAAAGAAATTACATGAAATGTTTTACCTCAGTGTAGAATGAATGTGAAACTTTTTGTTTACTGTGAAATACTAGTGCGGTATTATTAAGTAATAAAATATGTTCCTCAGAATATTGTGGCAGAGATCAACTGTATAAAAAACTTCTTGCATTTTGACAAAAATATCCCGTACTCTCATATAGCTAATAACCAACAAAGATGTGCAAAAATTTGTTTTCATACTTCATCAGAAATTCTTAGCATTACAAATTATTGCAGATGATTTCAGTTGTTGTTTGTTTGTTTTTTTCATACAATATATATGAATTTGAGAGTGTGAAAGTTATCACACCCATTAATATTTTATTTCTCTTTGCTTCCTAATGGGTTTCCTGCATGTAATACAAGCATTCCCAACCTTTGGTGATTATAATGAATCTATCAATGATCTACACTGCCCAGAGTGTTCTTTCATTTATGACCCTTCTCTACCTAACAAAAAATATTTCAATTAATCTATTTCATCCATTTAACTCCTCTTTCCAATGCATGAACATGCAAACATGTGTGCCACAATATTCTGTAATCTTATGTCACAGTATTCTTCCCACATTTTTTCTCATTTGTTATACAAATAATGCTTATTTTATATTTTCATATTAACAAGTGTTGCTTAGTTTTAAGGACAATTTTCAATCAGAATATGTTTCCTTTAACACAAAAATTCAATGCAATTATGAATTATCATCGAAAACAAATTGTATTAATGTTTCAGTCATCATATATAATTCCTGGAAAATGGTAATATTTAGATATTATATAACAAAATTTTCTGCATTAATTTTCAGGTAGAATGTTAACTGTAAAGAAAAATGTTTATTATTGTGCATTTTCATTGATCTGTAAAAAAATGTAAGAGTTAAGGAAAAAGTTAAAATTAAAAAAACTGTTTTGTAAGCATGATTGCTCAGAAAATCTGTAGGTAAAAGCTCAAGCTCTGCTACTAAAGCATATATGTGCAGTATTCCAAATACTCCTAGATGTTTTAAGTTAGATGTAGATGTGTAGTTCAAAAACTGACATTACATGAAATGATTTACTGATGTTTAAATTTAAATGTGATTTTCTATAATTACTGTAATGACACTATCTTGCATGTCTTCCAATGTACTTGTACTCTTTCTTGTTCTTTTCAATGTGTACAATTATATCTCAAAGCATTAATATTATTTATATGCAAAATCTCAAAGATGCACAAAGTTAACAAACGAAAGAATTGTGTTAAATATATGCTGAAAAGTACAGAAGGAAATCAATTTTCAGTAGGAATGTCACTGGTTCGAATAGCTGGATCTGGCTCCCAATTCAAAATAAATAGTTAAAGCTTATATTTATACATTTATTGGTTTGATGTTGATTTACTTTCTGCACTGCATTAGAAGGAAATTAGAGTTCACACAATCACTTTCAAAATGTGATTCCAAATTCTATAAACCTTTGTACTAACGTGTGAACACACATTCCCAATAAAGAATCAGACAGGGATCAAGTCAGATGAAGACAGAAAATCATGAGCACTCCATGTAATGTATGTCCATGCTATGAACAGGGAAACAGACTCTGGAGAGTAAGTCAATACATACTTGTACATAGAGCTATGTAAAATGCGCGAGTCCTATTAAAATAGTCATAAAAATAATTAACATATATGATACAAGATGTTTGGTCTAGGACTAATATAATTTAATTTTTTAAAGTCGTTGGAATAAACATAATTTGTACTTCATCCTTGAACATCTTAGTTTTAACAGGAAGCACAAATTAATAAAGTACATGCTTTGAAGAATTTTCAGTAAATTGGTGTAAACTGTGATCAACAAAATAGAGCTCAACTTTTCATCTGCTGCGAATAAATAACTGTATTTCATCTCATCTACAAAGTGTAAAAAAAGACCATGATATTGTAAGACACTTAATAAAATAGCATGTATTTGAGTGCTTGAAAACAAATTCAATAGGATATTTTGTAAACAATTTTTTTTCTATAAACATTTTATGAGATGATTATTGTAAAAACATTTATTGAAATTAAAATTGAGATCTTACCATGCTGACCACAGAACTTAATTACAATTAGAAATATTCCAATTGAATAATTACATATAACAATAGATTTAATTAAATTTGCATACTGAACATGGTTTGTCTACAGATATACATTTTCAGTACATGTGGTAAACAACAATGTTAGCCTTATGTCTTGAAATTAATCAGCTAAAAGGTATGGCCAAAGAAGGGATGTATGTTCCCAGATGTATCAATAAAAGAATAATACAAAAGACAAGACTTTTCTTTTGCCTTGTGAGTACACATGTAGTCTGGCCTCTTCATCCACGTGTCCACTGCCACTGTACACTGTCTACATCTGAAGTAACATTAATAGTATGTTTTCCTGATAAAACACTTCAATCTCTTAAAAATGCATTTAACATAGTTTCAAAGAAAACAGAATAACAATTTGCAAACATCTGGTCTTATGATAGATTAAAATATGCTACAAATCAACAGTTTAAGTATTCCTGGTGAGCATGCCACTGCTGAAGCACTAAATGAATGAAGTAACCTCCTGCCTATAGAAATGCAGCCACTCTACATTTTTTCTACTGGAATGTAATAAAATTTCAAAGAGCAGAAATAAACCTTGAAAATAACATGCTCAATAAATTAAAATGTTTCATGCTAAGTGATTAAGGCACCACAACTGAGCGAAAGTGAATAAATGAATGAACAAATGCAAAAACAAATGAAAGGAAATGGTGGGTGAGGAAGCAGGGCGGGAGGTCGAGGAGCCGTTCATACACAACTGTCTCCCAGTTAGTATTCACAAAGGTTTCTTCAGAAGCAGGAATGAAAGGTTCTTTGGTACATTTCATACATAACAAGATACATTGTTTCTATAAATAAAAAATGCCACATATTTTATTTGAAGCATCACAGTATACACACTATTTGCAGACTGTTGTACAACATACATAAGGGCAGATATTTCGAAGTCAAAGTAACATTCAGCCTACCACAAGTGTCACTCATTTCAACAGCACAAGGGGTCCCCAAGGAGCCCAACGAGACAACCACTGACTCATTCAACACTTTTAATCATAATATTATATTCTTATTAAAAATAATATTTAAGGTATTATTACAATAAATACTGTATATAAAATACTAAAACTCAAATATAAAATACAAGAGAAAAGAAGAACAATAGTATACATTGAAGTATTTACTAGTAAAAATCAATATAAAGCTCACCAAAGCTTGTTTGTATGAAGAAAAATATGAAAAGTATCTAAAATATTCTCCTAATGTTTCAAATGTCTGTATCTCAAAGTTTAATCACATGCATGCTATTTCACTTTTCTAAAAATTACTTCACCTTTGGTGTTAGTAATTTTGTGTCCTTACACCTCTCACCTAATTCAATATACACAAATTTAACAAAAAAGGAAAAGAAAGTATACATATTACACTAAAAATGGCATAGTCTCTCGCATATTATTCAATTCCTACTAATATACAAATTCAAATATGACAGCTAACTATATTATATACTTTATTCATTTGAAATAATATCTAACAACACAGCCTACATAGTTTCTTTCTCAGCTCAATGCCTTGGGACTTAACAGATTCTATTTTAATGACTAACTATTACTTGAACTTAAAAAAAAGGTGAAGAACAAAGGAACAGAATGTAAATAGCAAAAAATTATTTTAATCAGAAGATTTCTTCTCTCCAAAAATACACTATCAACTTGTAGTTTGATCATCTTAAAAATATTAAAGACTTCTGGAATATGAAATTGCCAAAGATTCAATAACAAAGGACAGAAAGAAATACAATAACATGAATACAAACAATTTAGGTACTCAACTGACTGAAGCTTCTACACAGGAAGCAATTGTTTGTGTAAGTATTAAATTTGAATAATTGCACAGAAACTTCCTGCATAAAATAATTATTATCGAGATATTGCAACCAAGCCAAATATACATACAAGTAGCATATCTCACATTTAATTCACATTTACACATAATATACTATTTACAAGAGGTGCACTTCTTCTCAACCTTCCAAGCTCATAAGATACAAACATCTGAAAAGAGGAAAATATGTTAGTTATTCCCATACTGTAAAGCTAACTGATAGCATAAAAACATGCTAAATAATGTTCTACATAACTCAAAAAAATTAAGTCAACAATCCTGACGATGTTCTTTGCAGCTACACTGCCAACCAACATACAGTACTATACAGAGTATTATATCATAACAACAAACAAAATTTACACGAGTTCTAGCCACAATAAGATATTTTTTCAGATGAAATTTTCAGTGCTAAAAAATTCACTTTTTTATACTTCATGGTGCAGTTTGAATTCCTGCTAACTACTTTCACATTTTGCAATACGATAGCAAATGAATTTCCCACTGTACCTTCTTGGCTAGTACAAAGTCAGCACAAAGTTCATTGCCATCACGTTCAAATCTATAATTCGACAAGTTCATCCATCCATATGCACAGTGAACATTTTCGAAAGTAACATGCTTCAGTGCACAAGCACTTGGAACACTGATATAAAAAACATGCAAATAACAAAAACAAAATCCTTTGGGGGCAAGCATTTTCAACAGAAAACAGATGCTAACAACCTTATTCCAATTATTCTCCAGAGCCGTGCAAATTTTCCATTGTAATGATATAAAAAACATTAGTAGAAATGTCTACAGCAGAATTAATTTTACCAGATGCAAGCATAGAAATATTTTGCACATACATTCACAATGTAACATTAGGTCTTCAAATATAGCAATTAATTTCAGGTAAGAGCAGTGACTCGATAAGCAGGGATACTTAAACTGCATGAATTTGTAGAAATCTGGAAAATTATCAAATTCTAACAAGATCATGTTTTCTAATTCTAACCCGTTTTACAACATAAAATCCTGAAAACATGATCATTTTTATGAAAACAGTAAAACCATCAAACAATTATCATTAAAAATACAAAACTGTCTCAAGAATGTTCTGAAGTTAATTTATAAATAAATGTTCGCAGATTTTTTGACTGAACTTATAACCTGCTAGTTGGCATTTGACATCCTAGATCTGTTTTTAAGGCATGACAACACTTATACATTGTACATGGTTGACAAGAATTAACACTAAATTATTACATAAAATGTTTGTACTATTTATACATATTCCTCTCTCTCTCTAACAAAGTGGTATGGAACTTCACTACATATATAGTGCATCCATTAAGAGTAACACGATTTAACACACAGGCAAATCAGATTATATAATGTTTCCACTGCACTGTAGTAGAAAGGCCAGGTATGAGGAGAAAGCACCTCAAAGAAAAAGATGAGAAAAGAATGAAACAATGAGAGAGAGAGAAAGAGAGAGAGAGAGAGAAAGTGAGAGCTTGAAGACAGGAGAAGGAAGAGGGAATTTGAGTAGGGGAATCAAGGAGATCACAACACACGTCTGGCTACAGTTCCTTGTAGTGATAAAACTTTAACTTCCATGTCACTTCTACAAACATTCTTTAAGTACTTTGTCCCAACTACCTACAGACTCCAGCACTTGCTCAACTCCCTCCGCACAACAGTCTCTTCTTCTTCTTCAATAACAATTGTGTGATGAAATTCATGGAACAGAATAATGTATCAATGAAGTGATGGTAGATTACACCAGAATGCCTGAAAAAAGATCAAAATGGTAAAAATAACAATGCCCCAAAAAATCTTCTGATTTCAAAAAGAGTCTCGAGCTTCTGCAACTTACTATATCATGTATCAAATAATATCATAACTTTAAAGCAACAATGTCAGGGTATAAAAAATCTACAATTGAAAAGAAAATATTTTGAATACTGTTTAAAGACTACTTTTATTAACTGAATGTCTTTCCCAGATGCAGTGTTCCAGTAACTCAAGACACGCACAAGCATCAAACACCTAAATGTTTATAAATAAATAAAAATTAATGTGCACAATTCATTCAAAACCAAAAATAATAATAATAATAATAATAATAATAATAATAATAATTTTTTTTTGAAAATGACTTTACTGAACTATTATGAAGTACAGTAAAACACCTTTCTCAATATACACAAGATATCCAAATATATCATGAGATGTGATTTCAAATAATTTAGGTCACCTTCTTCAGAAAGCTATTATAATTTTGTTCTTTACAGTAAATCCAAAGCATAATATAATTCTTGTTTATTGAAAAAACTTATATAGCTTTAAGGATATAAATAAATTAAATACTTACTTGAAAGATAAGCCACTATGTAAAATTAAACAGTATCAATGATCACTGATACACATTAAAAAAAAAAAGAGAAAAGAATTGAGGATTCTTTTGAATAACTTATTTATACAATATGGCATTCTAGTTTTTCATAAATATGTTATCATCCAGATATTAATAATTGTATTAGTACAGCGTTTAGTGTTATATTTAATGTATAAGGATGGATGGATGGATGGATTAAATGAAAACAAAACACCCAGAGTTGTGAACATTGAATTGTATTTTGTATGCAGTTGAGTATCATTATAAAGAAGTGCTGACAGTGTTTTTCTGATGATCAAGTGTTTTTCTACTAATTAAGTGTTTTTTGTTTGTTATTCCCAGCCTAGTAAATACAGTTTTTTTGTTTTAGTTAGCCCCATGCAACAAGATGTTCGCTAATAAGGAGAAGCAAAGGGGGATCATTTGGTTTCCAATGGCTGAGAATGTTGGTGTTTGTGAAGTGCTTTGATTTTAGACAACATGCACAGTAACTGATCCCTGAGTAGATGCGGCACAAATATTTTTGCGAGAGATGAGAATAATTACCCTATCCTAAAATTAACCATCATTTTGCTGAGGATCCTAGGATCACAGTGGCATCTTGGTGATAACCAAGAAACTAGCTGCAGTTATCTCAGTGGATTATCGATGGATAGGGCCCTGGCTTGGCCACCAAGAGAGAGAGAGAGAGAGAGAGAGAGGGGGGGGGAAATGGTGAAGGAGTAGGGGACACTCCCTCCCAAGACCCTGGTTACAGATGATACTGTGTGTAAAACCAGGCAGGGCAAGGAGTGCAGCTTTAATTGAAGCAGGCCCCTGAGGGAAAAAAAAACAGAGTTGAGTTTAGTTAGAGTGCACAATGGGTGCCTCATACTCTCATAGAGAATCCAAGAAGCCTCTGGATGTAACTGTCTTCTATGTTCCTGTGCAGACAACATTATTCTGTTGCGGCTTGTGGTACCTGATGAAATGTGAAGCTATTGCTTCCAACCAGAAAGCAAAAGACAAAGGCAAAAATAGAACTGTCAAGGCTATCCACCATCCTGTAATGCCGAATTAATTTTTTTTTTTCTTCAACTATCAAGGACCCCTGCTGATTGATTTCCTTCCACAATGTGCAACAATCAAAGCTGTTCACTACTGCAGTAGTCCTCTGAAATGTTTGCATAATGTAATAAGGTTGAAAAGAATGCACAACCACATTTGAGAGCTGAAACCCTCACCACATTAGCACATCCTCCCTCCCTTTGTGTGATTTTCAAGTGTTAGGTCTCCTGAAAAATGCACTGCACAATCACTGCTTCGAGTCAAACCAAGAAATCATCAACACTGTTTATAATTGTTTTATGTCACAGACAAGAAAATCCCTGAACAGAGAATACAACACTCAGTGAAGTAATAGAACTGCCTGTGTATAATGGATTATATGTGAAAATTAACGATGTTCATACCAGTTTCTGAGCACTGTTTTTCATTTAACCACCCTCATACTTGTTTGATTCATTTCAGTTTAAATTTACAAAATTAAATCAGTTTAAATTCAAATTAATTTTTTTTTTACACTTATTTGACAAAATGTGAATCTGAAATATTTCATTCCCTTCCACTATTTCTTCCAATTTTTTATTCACTCTTTTAAATTATACCCTGAGCATCTTACTTTTGTGAACAGCCTTTTCATTTCTACTTGATTTAAAAACACTAGTCTTTTTTACGTGATTTTGTTTTCAAGCCCACCACATAAATTTCAGTATTGTTAACATAATTGTTAAAACAATATTGTGATAATAAATATTTAAAGTACACATGTCATGATTTGCTGTATTTATATATCAAATTGTAAATTAGAATATTTAAATAACTTAAAGAGTTTTAATTTAAATGCATGATAAGTTAGAAATATTACATTTATAGTACTCCATCAGTTAGAAGAGAATTCATTCACTCAGTGTAAGATACATAGTAAAATACTTCTTTAACATCACCTCAGGGGGCCTACAATTCTTTAGTTAAATGTAGATTTAAATTGAGGTATAAAAAGAAACTTAATTTTTATCATAGGAGCTGTCCATAAATTACACAGCACAAAAAAGGGGAAGTAGTTTGAGGCAGCGTTATTGTGTTACATAGGGAGGTGTAATGGTAACAAGAAATGTAAGGGGTGTGGGTGTGAGAGAGTGTGTCATTGTTTAGTGTTGCATAATGCTGATATTTATTCTTAAAAATTTCCAACGCTTACTGAAATACTTCCTTTTATTCAGTCTTGAATTAAAACATTAATATATAAAAAAATTACCGTATTTACCTGATTTTAAGTCAACTGAATATAAGACGACCCCCTAATTTTGAAGAGGCCCCCTGAGAATTTTTTATATTACTAACAAATTCTAACTACTTCATCAAAATAAAATTGCAAATTGTCTTAATAACTACAAAATTGCCTTGTTGGCGAGAATATTAATACTTATTACTGAACTATCATTTTCTTGTTCGTTAAAATCATCATAATCATGGTTTTTGTCACTACCTTCATCATCTTTACATATATCAATGTTTCTTTCCTTTTAGTCCCTCTTCCATGCCGCTACATCATGTGACTTTTTAGACCTGTCAAAGTTTTGTGCATTCAATTTGCATTGTTTATTCATCAAAATTGTGCATTGAATTTGCACGCCACACAAGAACATTCCTTTCTGTGTCACCAGATTTTGTCCAGCACATGTCGATTCCCTCTGTTTCTTTAACAGTTTAATACGCAGATTCGTATTCAGCGGACGCCGAACAGAGGTTCTGCGCGGCCTCGTCGAATCTGCATCGTGTAACAAAATTTCGGCATACATTTTCACATTATGTTACATTTGATACAATGCCATTCCTTTGAGACTATCTCTTTAACGGCCCATTCAAAAATATCGGTCAGTATTGCTTGGCAAATTTGTGGTGGGAGCCGAGAATACAAGCCCAAACCCTGAATGCGCGATATTTTTAGTGTCTTCGCAGTTTAATGTCGCGTCAACATTTACAAGTTTCGTGATGGAATGTCAATTTAAACTTAAACCCTTTCAGACTAAACTTAATCTGCAAATACAAGACATCTCGATGTTTTTCGACTGAGATATTTAGGAAAAATCTCATCTTGTATTCGGGTAAATACATTAAATGAAAAATTCTGAATAAATTAAAAAGCTATGATGTACAAATTTTTACAATAAATGAAGAAAATGTTATATCAATTTTTTGTATGGAATCTGTTAGATTATGAAGAAGAGAAAGAAAAGAAAGAGAGAAAGAAAAAAAAAACGAAAAAATGAGAGAGAAGAAAGGGGGGACAAGGAAAAAAAAAAAAAAGGCACAGTAGATTTGCGGTCCATGCGTCATCCACGGTGGCGGCATGTGCACAATGTATTTTCGGAAATTTTCTCATCTAAGCGTCCTTCCTTCAAAAATTGTTCCTTATCTTATTAAGGAGCAGACCGCATCGCCTACTAATTCCAACTTTAATTATTTTACATTTCAACATATAAAACAAAATTTATACAACTCGTGTTTTCTACTTTATAAATTATTTTTACTTATTGTAAATTGTCTTGTTGCAGGTGTTACATAATTATTTTGGAGTGATTCAAGTGTGTGTTGCAGAGGGAGAGGGGGTATTCAAAATACTGTAAACTGTCATTACAGAATTTATGGACATTTCATACATAATAAAATCACAATATTATCATACAAGTTCTATCTGTGATTGCGAAATTTATATGTATGAGGGGCCCACTGTGTCACAATCTGATTCAGAGCAGCCAACTAAATATAACACCACCTTACTACAGATGCCATTGCAGGTCTTAACAATTTTCATATACTACAATTGGCTGCAGTGCAGATGACAGACGGCATTGCACAACATATTTGGCAACAGTTTCCAAATCGTCGAGGAAAAATAAAGAAAAGCAATCCAACGATTTTTAATGATGAATGCGGGTTGTGCGTCAAAGAAAATGACATAAAAATGAAAATGTAACTGCATTAATTATGCCAAGACATCATCAGGATTTTCGGAAATTATCATTACGGGTAAGGAAAATTTTAAATCGAAGTCACGTTAAATTGGATATCTACTGTTATTTCCTAACAATAAATAAAATTATTATATGTAAGCTATTTCGAGCATTGACAATAAGACTTTATCTATAAAGTACTAGCTGATTATGGGCTGAAGGGTAAAAATTCAACAGGAAAAAGTTAAAATTTTCTCATTCCTGTTCAGTAAATGTAGCAAATATACCCCAGCCAGCACTTCAATGGTTAGTATCTTATAGGGCAGGTTCAAGATTTGTACATACCTGATCAAACTCACGGAACAGGGCTGGCTCCAGTGCTTTGTGGCCCAGGTGGAGGGGCTGAGCCTGGATGCTGGAGTGTTGAGTATGGGTGTTGATGAAGATGATGGTTTAAAAATGGACTGAACGTTGGTGTTGGTGTGCCATACGGAACAGCATAAGCTGCATCAGTCGCTGTATATCCTGGTCGTGAAGGATATGGCGATGGAGCGTACATATTTTGAGGGTAGTAGTTGGAATTCTGAGAACTGGCTCCAGGACTTGAAGGAAAATGAGGCGATCGATGATGGGATGATAAACTGAAAGGGGAGGGATTTGTGGGCGGTGCTACTGATGGTAAAAATGGTGGAGCCAATTCAGCTGGAGCCGGTGCAAAGTGATGAGGTTCAGGTCGATGAAAGGCGCTGTACATAGAAGCTCTGGCATAATCAGTATCGTACTGACTTGACACACCTGCACCATAACTCATAGAACCACCATATGCTGTGGGAGTTCCATATGGTGATACCGCACTTGCAGGAGCAGTTGGCCTCAAGGGGCTTCCGTAGTTAGAACCAGGTGCTGTGAAAGGAACCGTTGTACTGGCTGCACTGCTTCCTGGTATATTGTATTGGCATGTGCCCGGAGTATAACTATTCAACATCATCGATTCATACGGATTCTGATGAGTTGACAAACTTGCAGTTGATGTTGAGGAACCACTGGCATATGGATTAAAATTTGCTGGAGGTACTGATGGTAGAGCAGATGGCAAAGATGGGTTACAATTGGATGCAGGTTCTGTGGAAGATGAAGACACAGGCGTCTGATTAATAGCAGGTGTAGATCTTGCACTATTGTTATTACTATGAGATCCTGATGCACTTCCAGGACTACCAGATGTTCGCACTTCTTCCCTCACACATAAAGAGGACTTTGAATCCTGTTTCAATTCTCTTGTGTCTCCAGAATTCAAGTGATTGGTTTCCTTTTTGCTTGTAGCTAGGGATGATGAAAGCGCATGAGTATCAGACCTCCCAATGCTATGAGATATATTTCTTTCCTTATTTTGATTCTGATCTGATGAGGTTAGAGGTCTTTCATACTGATTGTCACCGTAGTAGTGGTTTCCAAACTGCATCATTGATGGAGTAGTTTGCTGACCAAATCCATAATATGTAGGACCTCCTAAATACTGACTATAAGAGCTACCATATACATTTTCTGCTGGTGGTGGTTGTGGAAGCGACTTAAGGTTTCCAACATGTGGATAATCTGTACTATGAGAGTCAGTTGCACTCGCATGAGGATTATGTAGAGGCATCTGATAACTTTCAGAACTTAAGTTTGTTGAAGCTGGAAAAGTTGATGAGGTCAAAGATGATGACTGATTTGAATGCTGAGTTTCCAGAGAACTAGAATTGCTATATGCCTTCATATGTGGATTCTCCATATTGTACCTAGCAGTACAGTCACTTGTCATTGTCTCTGAATTTGGAGTAACAGATTTGGAAGACTGGCGTTTCTTACTGGGGGTCACTGAATCAGACACCTGTGAACTGCTTTGCGCATGTGAAGAAGGTGGTGGCAGGTACTGCTGATTAGAAGCATTGCTTTTAGAAGGTGCTTCACTAATCTTAATTTTAGTACTGTTGCGTGAACTCTCACATTCACAATTTTCACGTTTGTGCAGGTCACATTTCCCTCTTCCATCATTTCGCAAATCTCCCGTAACAGGTGTAATATTTGTTTCATGATATGATCTAATGACATTTTTATTTGGTTCCATCATATTGCTACTAGTGTTTGACCCATCATGTTTGTAAGCTCCATAAGAATTAGCAGAGTTATCTAATGTATTATGGTAATTGGAAGGAGATTTCAAGGTGTTTTCAGTATAGGAATGTGACTGTGCTACTGGTTGATTTCCACAATTTGTGACTTCATCTTCTCGAAGTTGTTTATTATTGTTGTTATTGTTATTATTATTGTTAGTATTATTTGTATTATCACTTGACATCATTGATTTGTGATGCTCTGACATAAAATGAGGATGATTTTGAGACACAGAACTAGTATCAGATGAATTCGTGTTAGAGCCAAGATGGCATACATTCTTATGTGTATAAGATGTTGACATATTCACATCTTGCTTAGGAGTTTCCCTTGTTTCTTCATTGTACTCATGCTGTTGGAGAGGCTGAGTGGAAAGGGGAGTTTCTTGGCGCCTTTCAACAACAGTTGCAGATGCAGATGTATCATCATGCATCTGCCTAAATTCATTGTGGTATGGAGAAGAATGAACAGAATGATGAGCAGTCTGATGTTGAACTGGTGGAACAGAATGCGAGGGAGGATTAGGTGTTGTATTCTGTTGGGACAACCCAGTGTGACTTGAATAATTCTGAAAATCTCCTTCGCTTGGAGAGCTTCCTTTCTGATTCTTGTTAGTATCATACGATGCATTCGATTTGTCTGCCTGTTGCCAAGGGTTTTCATTTTGCTGTACATTTTCTTGGCTACTCCCCTGTGCTTGTGAGAAATTTTGGTTCTCTCTCTCAGTCTCTTTTGGGGAACCATCATGTGATGTTTCTAAAATCTGCTCTCCTTCTTCTTCTTCATCTTCTTTCCTACCAACAGGATTTTGGTAATCTTGAGAAGGTGATTTAATCATTATTTCTCCTTCAGTAAGATTTGAATTTTCCTTATCATCCATCATAAGATTTGTAACACTAGAGCTTCCATCATCACTGAATGAAGAATGTGTATTGGATCCCCCTTTGCCCTCACCTTCTGGAGGATAAAATGCCTTAGATGATGATGACTGTTGTTGATCATTACTATCATTGTCTTCAAATTCATCCTCAACACAACTTCTCTGGCTCTGATTCTGCATCTGAAAATATGACTTTGTTTCAGTTCCAGACTTACTATCTGATCCCTTTGAATGACTCAGCTTGCTATTAGAGCTCCAGTTTGTTCTGCAGTTTGGTTCTTGCTTGATATTGGTAGGGGTTATTTTGTTCACAGGTGGCTTATTTGCATTTCCACCAGATCGATTCATGTTGGAAGCAGGACTTATTTTAGGAATAATTGTGATGGCAGAGTTGTTTTTGAGAGGAAGAACACTGTTTACTTTGATGTTACCACGATTAGAATTTGGAGTTCCACCTTCTAAAAAAAAAATTTTAAAAAACACATAAAAATAAATAACAATAACAATAGTAATAAAAATTACAATAACAATGGTAGTAAAAAGCACAATAATAAATCAAATAAATATTGCACGAGAATTGCAAATAACTTTTTTTATGAAAACAAAATTTTATAAACATAGAAAATATTTTACCTTTCTTAACATCGACAGGCTTCATTTCTAAATCAGCTTTATCAATATTTGAAGTCAGGGTGTTCTTGTAGTCTTGAGATGCTCCCCCTTTATTGGATCCACCAACTTTGAAAGCAGTTCGGATCGCTATAATTTTGCCATTTTCCAATTGCATGTAAATACCCTTAGGACTCTTTAGTACCATTACACGTTGACCAGCTTTCAAGACAATAGATGCACGGTCAGGTGAGTTGGTAGGAATAACAACATCTGGCAAAACAAAAAGTTACAAGCATAAATTACAATAACAGTAATTTTTTTCAAATGGTAACTGAGCACACAATAAGAAAAATTTTGACATAAGAAAAAAATTTAAATCACAATACAACTGTCCCCTTACCTAGGGGAAGTGTCATTTCTTGAGCACTCATGCCCTGACGTTGCCATACATCAGCTGGAATCCAACGTGACCGAGAAGAGTTCAGGGCCCCAGAAGTACGCAATGTGCGATCAACTTGTGAATTTAGTTCGGCCTGCATGGGTCGAACACTTGCCACAGGTTTTGGAACCATACTGTTCCCAGTTCCATCAGTGCGAATAGCCCTGTGAGAAAAATGAATATTAAAAATTGAAGATTTAAAAGAAATAGAATCACAGGAAAAATATTTTATAACAGCATAAACTCTAGATAAAGATAATAAAATATTTTATCTCAATATAACACATCCCTCTATATTTCAAGAGAATGTTCAGAAATACACAAGCAAATTTTCATTATTAATTACTTCAATTTTTTTTTTAATTATTATTCTAATTACCAGTAAATGAAATCGTATTAGAATGAGCAAATAAATTATTTTAAAGCTTATCACATGCCCTTTAAGAATTTTAACACCAGTCTGCAGATACATGGAAGACCTACAGACACAGACCCAAGACCTACAAAAAATCTAAATGTAACAATTACCGTTCAAATTTCTTGAAAATGTTGAAACAATTTTTACTTATTGAAGAAGAAAAAATAATGACTTTGTGACACTTTTATGTATTAAAATATTTGTAAACCACATTTATTGCAGTTTGTTTTTCCTTACATTCAAGAAGCAAAATTGATGCAGTATATTAAAATCTTTACTTGTCAACTATTCAGTCCAGATTACTTGTTCTATTGCTTTAGGTTACTAAAATGAACTATATATTGTGTTTTTTGGACTATTTTCACTTCCTGTTAAGATGTCACTTTCATTTCTTAAAACATCATCACTGATCTGTGATTTTTCAACAGCAAGCCACGTGGTCATTCTCCAACATTAAATTTCTCTTTCTCGTAGACATTGGTAATTTCCATTTCTCCCTTGACAGTAATTTGTATTTCTGTTACATTGTAGCAACTGTCATAACCTTCTTGAGATAGAAACCACAAAGATTACGGTCTACTGTTTGCACTTTAACAAACAAATACATTTGGTAGTAACAGGAAATAATGCATGCTAGTCCAAATACTGTCCATTTTTGGACAGAATTTCTTTTTAGACTGACCATTATAAGAATGACTGTTATTGAGAAGTAATATGGTCATTAAATCCTCTGTGTTTCTGCAGGAGAATTTCAAATGTGTGTAATTTACAATTGTCCGTTTGGACATGCGTCACAGTATGTATGTGTGTGATGAAGTCTTTTGGAAGAAAGAAATTTCAATCGGAAAAAAATAATATCACTGTCTTTTCAATTAGATGAACAAAAGTATCTTTTGTCGTTTTTCTGAGAAGTGCTTCATTACTCCACACAGCTTCTGGGTGATATCTCTTCTATAACATCCAAATGGTTGTGGTTAAAGTGAGTCTAAATACTAATGATATTACATAGTGGCAAAGAAATTTTTTTCTTTTTCAAATACAAACAATAAAAAATGAAATTCATGAATTGAAAGAATGGGCATGCATATTACAACAGCACTGTGTCATGCACCGACTTGTAATTGCACCCAACAATCCTGGCCATTAGAATTGCAGTGCACTCTGTTCCCAAATGACCTCTCGGGTCATCAACAGTGCTTTGAATTTTTGATCTACACACTTATCACGTAGAGACAAATGCCGTGACAAAATTGAAAAACTACAAAACAAACTTTATACAGGAATCTATGCTCCAGTGGCCGAACTAGTACACAAATTATTTATTGCTAATGTTATGAAGAACATGCTAGTGTTTTTTCCACCTAAAAAGACGCATTGTGTGCACATAGACAAATGCAATGTAAAATTTCATTTATACACTTTCAGGGTACCGAATAAAGAAAATGAGGAAGTGAGAAAAACGCATAGCTGAAAAGGAAATTCTAGGTACGAAGAAAAAGGTCAAATATATATAATTTGATAATACTGTTGTATCAGAAACATAATAGACACAAAACATTTTCAACACATAAAATTTTCAAGAAAGGAAGTACTCAGTTTTGAAAACAGTCTTATCTTAGACTGCTTTTTTCTGCACTTAAGGCATAAATCCCC